TTTAAGGAGGTTGGTAAGAGGAGAGGCTTGTGCTTGATGTGATGCATGAGCAACCCAAAAAAGGTGCCAAAATCATAGTCGTGTGGTGTGATTTCTTCACTTTTGAAAGGGCAGAGGCGGTCCAGCCTGGTGTCTGTGTGGGTGGGGTGTGAGGAAGGGCTCATGAGCCTGTATCCATGTGGAAACAGCTGGGCTAAGCCCAGCTTTAAAAATCGTGACTAAATATCATTGGAGAAACATCTGCACCGCATGCAGCAGGCAAGGAGAAAAGAAATAACAAGGAAAACTCTACTGGTTGCACTAAGTAAATACAGCAGTCTTGAGTATTACTTTTTTAGGGTCATTGTATCAACAGCTAGCCTAAGGAAGAGCAATGTAATCAAAAAGTGCACATGAAGAATGTTCCACCCAGTTTTACTGTGTAAAACTCAAGGTTGAAAGAGAAGCAAAACGTCACAACATCTAACATGATTCTAGGCAGAAAATCAGAGCGAACAACGTCATCCTCCTTTCTTCATAGCATAAAAGGCTTTTGCAGGAACCCAGTAAATTTTTGTGTTTTAATACAAGAAATCTTAATTGCTGTTCTTAATGCAGAGTCATTTGAGAGCTTTTATCTCACTGCTCCTAAAGTGAGTTGGTGATTTTGAAGACTGAATAACTGTTTCTCAGCAAAGCAGTTTCAAGAGTTATAAAAATATTGGCAGATAACGCAGCAAATCAGCTTGAATGATTTGCCCAACTGCAAATGATGTTTTAGAAGCTGCTGGCCAAGAGCAGCCAGAACTTTTGTCCTCACTTGGCTTTTTTCTTGGTCTGTTGGATACCTTTAAGGGTAGAGTTCCTGTGGTGCAGGACAGTGGTTTCTTTCACGCACATTGTGAATTACGTGAACCGACCCATGAATTGGCAACTGGAGGTGGAAATTGTGCTCTGCCTGGTGTTTGTCACTGACAGCTGCACACTGGTCAGTTCAGATAAATGCTGCCAGAGCTTTTGATTCACCGCCTAATGCGTTTAGAGGGAGAAAGCTCTGCTGTGGATGGGGAAGTGTAGACCAGATCTTTGTTTTGTAAAAGGCAGCTTAGCTGAAAAAGGCCTGGTCCTCAGTGAAACCTGTTGTTCAGACACATTTCCTAAATTGATAATGATGTTTCCTCAAGGGTCAGAGTCTGAAGATAAAGCCAGATAGAGAGATAGGGAAAAGGAGAGCTGGAAATGGATGGCCAAGGACTGGTAACATGCACAAATGTCTGTATTCGGAGGCTCTCCCTTTTGTCAGCAGGCACGTTATCCTGGAAAGAAGAGTAGGGTCTTGGTGAAGTGAAAGGAGCAGGGTCAGGTACAGGACCTTGTAACCAGACAATATATTCAACTAAAATGACAAAGCCTGCAGCTTACTGCTGTGTAACAAGATGGGTGTACGTGTTCTCCCCCCGCGTGTGAGAGGAGCTGTTACATGTCCTGCCTGGTGCCTCACGCACAGGGAGCGTAGAGCAAGGTGCCTGTAGGGTGCAACGTGGGGAAGATGCCCACAAGCTTTAGCAGCAACAATCATCTCCCTTTCTCCTCGGTCTGGGAATAAGTGAAGGAGGGGGTTAATCTTACTTGCTACGTCCTCCAGAGCAGACCTGAACAACATGTGTGATAGTTGTGCACATGAGGGAGTGAAGCACAGTGGTGTAGTACTGTGAATAGCACTAGGGGTGTGCCTACAGCTCAGGACAGAGTGTGGTAGGTGCCCCCTTTGGAAGTGAAGTTGGAGGGGTTTGCACTTGCGTGGCCAAAGTGGTATTTCCAGTCTGGTTGGCACAGAGCACAGCTGGACCTGTATGGTGCAGGAACTGGTTTAGAGATAACGTTTGGGTTTGACTCACAGGTTTTGATTTATTTCTAACTTCAGGCGAGCCAACAGAGTGTCCATAGCCACTTCCACCCTACGCTTGCTCCGGTCCTCTCTACCTTACAGAATTTTGTCAGCACGAAAAGATCTTCAGCAGATGTGTCCCAGAGGAACTCAGGTATAACCCGGGTGGCTGTCAGAATAGCTGTGTGGTATTTGCTTTATATTTGTGCTGGTTTAAAAGCAAGACTGAACACTTGAATCTGGTTTTCCTACTCAGCCTCCCAGAAGACGTACCACTGATGTTTTAAGACCTGAACACTTTGCAGCAGATGACATTATTTTTATGTCTATTAGAAGAGAAATGGCTGCTCTATTTTAAGTGCAGAATTCCTGTGCCCTGCTATTCCCCGACGTCCTTGTCGGAGCCTCAGCACAGGCAAGCTTCTCGCATTAGAAACAGTTTTCTCAGGGAATAAAGCTGCCACCACTTCATTTATATCTTTGTTCTCCTGAGTGCATAAAGGGGTGTTCTGTAATGAGAAAGTCACAGTGCCCAGTTTGCAACTTGCAGATTTGGCAAGTGCTAAATCTGCAGCCTGCAGTAGCTTGTGGAGAGCCTGCACGTTTGTGTGGATGGACCTGCCCCGGGAGCCATCAGCATTCGCTCACATCTCACTGCGGCCAGAAGCAAAAGAACTTTCTTCTGCCAGTTGCCACGAGCTGGAGGAGCTGTGGAGCTTTTTGGACAGCCTTCTTTGTGCCATTCTGATGGGCCCTGCAGTGCTGAGGGTGCCAATGTGGCATCCTGGGCCTGTGCTGCCACAGACCTCACAGCAGCTCAGCAGCCCTGCCTCGGGCACTCAGAGCAGGTGTCTGCACAAGAACACGTGCATGTCCATGAGAGTGCTGATGTGTGGTGTTAAGAATCTTTAGCTTTCAAGAGGGACTAATTCTGCCTGCCTTCTAAAATGTTCTTGAAATAGTTTAATTTGCAATAGTTTAATTATAACGGCCTTCCAATACCTGAAAGGGGCCTATAAGAACTCAGGGGAAGATCTGTTCCCAAAGGCTTGTAGCAACAGGACAAGGGTGATAGTTTTAAGCTAGAAAAGGGTAGATTTAGGTTAGACATTAGGAAAAAGTTCTTTAATATGAGGGTGGTTGATCACTGGGACAAATTACCCAGAGAAGTGGTGGAGGCCCCATCCCTGGAAACATTCAAGGTCAGGCTTGATGGGGCTCTGAGCAACCTGACCTAGTTAGAGATGTCCCTGCTTATTGTAGCAGGGTTGGACTAGATGGCCTTTAATGGTCCCTCCCAACCCAATACATCCTATGATTCTAATTGAAGCTGATAGAATTAGGGGTTGATTAGCAGAGCCCAGGGCCTGACTACACCATCAGCTTGTTAGGCTGTTTAATCCCAGTTCCAATAGTTCCCTTGAAGTGTCCCTTTATTTGTCTTTATTTTAATATACACTTTGACTACTTTTAAATGTCCCATGGCTAGATATATATCAGCCAAACTTCCTGGGTGTCTATTATTTACAAATACAGCACAAATCAGGAGAGGAAGCCAATGAAATCTCAACAGTCTCAGACCAGCTCTGTGCTGTACTCTTTGTGGTGGTGACACTGATTAATGAATAATAAGCCAGTCTTTGAGCCAAATGAACAGCAGGGCTTTTCTTCAGGCCATCAGGACACTGCTGTGGAGTAGATGGTGGCGAGCAGCGACTGTGCTACAGTGGGAGTCAGGGTGACACTCGTCAGGCGGAGCGGTGACACCCGTCCTCATCGCGGGGTGCAACAGAAATCCCCTCCTCCTCACAGGAGCTGCACAGCCCTGTTTGGCACAGGAAGGCTCCCTCCCTTTCTGTTTGGTGATAACTCTGACTAGGCAGCAAGGGACCGTTGTCACCTGACAGTGTTATCTCTTAATTATATTATCTCTTAATTACAGAGGCTAATTGTTTGTTTCTTTATTAGTAGGAGCAGATACGGGCCCAAGGACTGTGGAGATAACAAGGGTCAGTGAGTTATTTTCTATCCATTCCAAAAGCTGACACCTTTAACTGAAGTTGTTAATTTTTATAGCATTTCTCTGAAGTAAAATTGCATTATTTACGTTTGCAGTGGGTTGTTGGATGTGTGCCTGTGCAGTGGCACCCGCGCGTGTGAGGATGTGTGTGTCTGTCAAACCAATCTATTTTCTCCCTGTTCCATAAATCAAATGACTCAGTTATTGCTGTACCCTGAACATTGACTTCTACAAGTTGCTCCAGTTGCACATGTTGGTTTTTTTTGCTTTGTTTCAGGGACCAAATGATGCACTTGGTATCAGTATAGCAGGAGGGAAGGGAAGCCCATTAGGAGATATTCCCATCTTCATTGCTATGATTCAAGCCAGTGGTGTGGCTGCACGTACCCAAAGACTCAGAGTGAGTAGATGGGTCCTTTCATATTTCCTGTTTCATCTGCCACATGTCCCAGAGAGAAGCCTCAAGCAGTTTTGCATATGCCATCACTTTGATAACATCTCATGGACTACTCTGCTTTTTTTTATATAAAAACAAAACGAAAAAAAAATCCAAAAATGAAACCTGCCCTTCTCTTCCCTTTTAAATTATATTGCGTCTTGGGATAAAGGCAATTGTTGCCCACGTTGGAAAAGTGAGTTTAAGAGAAAGACTACAAATGCATTTGCAGTGGTCTTTGAATGTCTGTGTCCATCCAGACCCAGGGAGGGCAGCAGCAGCTCTCTGGGAACCCCAGATCTTTGGGGGACTGTGGACTGGGCATCAGAGCAGGTAGGAACCAGATCAGAAGCTGTTTGATCTTACAGCTGATAAAGAAGTGCCAAAACAAGGTGCTTGTATCAGACCCACAGGATGTGTAGATTTCCAGGAATGACCAAGGTGAACACTTTCAGTTTTGGAAAGAGTTTCAAGGAATCATTAGTACCGAAAAGAATTTATTATGCAGGTGCATATGCCAATGAGATTCCTTAATACCTGCTGCTCCTTCCATGCCACATCTCTCACAGAATTACACAACAGCCCTGAGTGCCAGGGTCAAGATCATTTTTAAGTACAATAAGAAGAAATCATCAAGGTTAATTAGATTAATATCTGAAGTGCCTGCTTGCCTATAGTGCATTCAGCATGTGCATACATAGTCTGTAGGAATACGAACTTGTCTGCACATACAGACACAGATGAATCATTTTTGGATGGGAGGACAGGAACTGGAAATCTCACTCTCTGCTTGCAAATGGAAATAGTAAAATGCAACTCATCTTTGTTTCTCTGATCACATTGTTATTTAAAAAAAAAAACATATTGTACTTGCTCTGAAGAATGGTAAATGATCACTAGCAATGCAGAATTCTTACAAAAGGGATCCTGCAAAAGAGAAGCATGACTGTGCTGTGCCAAGTTCATGAGGAATTTTAAGCATTCTTAATTTTAATTTTCCCTAATGCTAGTAATTTTCCATTACTGTTGTACTTTTAGGTTGGAGATCGGATTGTCAGTATTAATGGGCAACCTTTGGATGGGCTGTCTCATGCAGATGCAGTTAATCTACTAAAGAATGCTTATGGGAGCATTATCCTGCAGGTATGGTGATAAATTGAACATGCAGCTGCATGAGGGTAGATAAATGGCATTCAGGAGAAAAAAAACCAAACCCTGAGCATCACTGGCACAAGGCATCACAGAATTGCAGGGTGCTTGCTGATGGGAATTACACAGAATGAAAGCAAGAAATAATATTCATTCAAAAATTCTTTATTGCCATTCATACAGGCTGTGAGCACGAGTATATAAAAGCCTAACAAAGAGAACAAAATAACTTGTTGCTACACATGATAAATCAACAAGCTTCCAGGTTGTTCTTGTTTTTTAATTTGAAGTTAACTGGAAACAAGAAAGTGTGTGTGTGTGTGTGTGTGTGTGTGCACATGCCTGTAACTAGACAGTGACCAAACTGCCCACAGTGTTCATTTCCTTGTTCTTGAAAAGGGGAGAAGAAAGAAATGCTGGCAGCAGTTAGTAAAAATGATAGCATCATCATTAAAACAGTGCTGCCTAGAGTTGATTATTCTACAGGTAATGAATAATAACACTCAAGAGAGAAAATAGTGTTATCCCTGCCATGTTTATATGCTAGCTAAAAGGAAGACGTGTTCTGCCACTTTGGTTCTGATTGCTGCTTGCCAGTATATTAATCTTTATTTTTATGTTTACACAAAGAAATGCGAAAAAATACTTGCCAGAGAGAATTCAGAATACTACTCATTTGGAGAATTATTGTAACAATTGGAAAACAAGCTTAAGCCATACCACTAAAATCCAAGCTAATTTTCTTGATCATCACAGCATATTGGATTGGACTGCATCTTGAGAGAGTTTTGCAAGCTTCTTGCTTGCATTGCAACACAAATGTGACTATAAAAAATGGAGGGGAAGTAAAAAAGGAAAAAATAAAGGAAATTAAATGATAATAAACTTAGTTTTAGACTTGCTTATTCGTTTTGTCTGTCCATGAACTGCTGACCTGCTAAGTGATGAGCCAGTTCCAGAGCAGATGGCATTTGTGTAGTTCCATTGAAGTCAAAGGAAATACAGAGCTATACACCAGCTGAGGATCTTCTGTGAAATTATAGTTATCATATTGTTACTAATGTAGAGTAATTTCACTTCTCGTGTCAACTGTGTTCCCTGAATAGAAAATGAAAGCTTGCTGCAGAACCCAAAATTGCTAATGTTGAAAGCTGTAATAGAGCATATTCCACCTCATCGGGTATTTAAAAATATTCCTGGTGAAGCATCCTGACAGTTGGTCACTCCCACAAACAAAGAGGTTCTTCTAGAAATGTCTTCATGCTTGCCACTGGACAGGGTTTTTTTTCTGCGTTTTTGCTGTCTAGCTCAGAATGGGCTTAATACTTTTTACAGGGGATACAGGTTTATTCTGATAGAATAGAGTCTATTTTTTCTCTCTTGAAAATCTGTTAGGTGAAGGTGGGATGTTGTATTTTACTACCAGCAGGGAGTGGTGTGGTGATTCAGTTACCTCATGTGCTGACCACAGGTACTTCTCCATCCCCAGATTCCTTTATTTGTTTATTATTATTATTAAAACAATCTAATTGGAATAATCCTATCGCTGTGATAATCATGACTGATGTGTCATTAAGTAATTCTATTTATTATCAAGTTAGACCACTTCATGGCAAACTGCTTTGAAAGGTCAGATAATTGGGTTCAGTGGTGTGGAAAGGCTTATTATCCCTCCGTCCTGGGGAGGATGGGAAAGGAGTTTGCAAATGCTGTTTGCAAAGGGGAGATTAGGGTCTCAGGGGAACAATCATCCCTTTCGGCTGTTTTGATGCTTTGGCTTAATTTAATTTCTTTTCTGCAGGTGTAGTAATGAGATAAGGGGAAGCTTTTTTACAAGGTTGTTGAACTCTGATACGTTCTTACTGCCAACTCAAGATTTTTGAATATAATTTATTTTGCCCTCGTTTTATTTAACAACAAAATACGACAAATACTGGCTGGCTCTCTCTCCTCTATGGCAATGGGAAGGAAAACTTAATGGTGCCTTTGCTGGCTGAGCCAGGTGCAACTATCTTGTGTGCTGGACCCCTTCATTTAGGGCATCTGAGAACCTGAGTCCTGGGATGCAGAATCTGCATGAGAACTAATCTGCCTTCCAGGAAAATGCTACCACCCTCTTGGCTCCAAGTGATTAGGAAGAGGGAAATATTGTGGAAGAATTGTGAGCATTCATTTAAAACGGGGGGATTTATAGAATGGATTTTTTTCTTTCAAAAAGGTACATTTCCCTTAAGCCATGCTGACAGCAAGGAGTGGAAAAAGTACCTGTTAATTTTGATTAAAAAAAGCCATGGATAGCTAGAGGAAATATTGCAAATAACCCTACTGGGTATTTCACACCGTCTCTGAGCTGAACTCACTGTGCAGTAAACATCAAGCAGAGAAGAATATCTCATCACAAGGAGATGGGGTTGGGGGATAAGCACAGCATGGAGTTGTTAGGAAACTGGTGTCCTCTCAGTTGTAAATACTTTTCCTCAGGTTGGTTTTTTTTTTTGCAGAAAAAGCAAAGATTAGAAAACTAGCATGGAATGTCTTCTCAAGCCAGCCATAGCTGGCTTTGTACCTGACCTACACAACAGTTGCTTTAAAGCCTGAACAAGACTGCAGCCCCACAACCTGTCAAAATGTCATTAACTCTATTAATTACTGCGTGGTGGTAGTTCACAATGGTTTCAGAGCCCTGCGGGAGCCAGAATTGGGAAGTTTAAGAGTGTCGTTTGGTGGATTCACGCTGGAAGTTGTAGTTAGTTGAAACCAAGGATTTATTTCTCCCCTGTGCAGCAAACCAACCAATCTGAGATATTTCAGGGCCTTTGCCACATGGTCCCTTGGATCTCTGTAAAGGCCAGGATGCTCTCTGTGGGAGACCTTTCCCTTCAAGCCCCATCCTGGACACCTCGTGTTGACTCTGCGATGTACCTCTTTCTTTGGCAAAATAACCTCTTTCTCTGGGTTGTCCAGAAAGACTGTTATCCTCTGCTCAGCATCTGAGTGACAGTTGTGTAAAGTCAAGAGAAAGTTTCAGAGAAAAGTTTGCATTTAACCCCCAGTAAACTCTATTATTAGAAAATATTGAATTGGTAGGACGTTTAATAAATAAGGACTTGAATTCATTTCCACTTGAAAATTGCTTTGAAAAAAAAAACAACCGACTTGCTAATGTATTGGTTATTTTCTACATAATTACCCAAGATGTCTGTGATATGAAGTGGACAAAGTATTTAATTGCATCCTTCTGTGTAGGTCGTGGCTGATACCAACATCAGTGCCATTGCCACCCAGCTGGAGAGCATGTCTGCGGGGTGCAACCTGAACTCTTCTTCTGAGCATCCCTCTGAAGACCCCGAGTAAGTCTGTGCTTACTCTCCATAGCTGAAGTGGATTTCTCCGTGAGGGAAAAGCCTGGGGTGGTGAAGGAGGTCTCTCCCAATGCTTGTGTCTCTTAATTTTCCATCACCTTTAAAACGAAAACTGTGACTTTCTCCAAGCTGATTATGGACTCGTGTCCATCTTCACCTGGTGACAGAAATTGCTTGAGTAAATAAGCATAAAATGTGTTTACAAGCAATAGTTCTGGACATTTTACAAAAAAAAATTGCCTCCTTTCTTTTCTAAAGTGTTAGGCTGACATGATAGTTCTGCCCTTGTCTCTTGGCTTCCTTGCCTGAACTGAATTATGATCATAGCAATTTGAAATAATTTCTCATTGGCAGATTAAGGCAAGAGGTGTTAAAAAGCTGGTATCAGAAATGTTTGAAAACACATCCCAGAACTTTCTTTGTCTTCTGAATCTTTTTAACTTTGCAATTAATAAAAAAAAAAAAAGGCTGATCTTAAAATTTTCTACTTATAGCACTTCTGTATGGTGATGGAAGTTAGAGATCTAGCCCTCCCATGACCATGTGTCATTCTCCATCATGTGCTTTTTAGGGCAGCTGATAGCATTCCAGTTATCATTTTGAAATTCATTTGATCTTCATTTTGGTTCATTAGCTTCATTATGTTCTTCATTTTCTTGTTCTGATTCATTATATTTATTTTAAGAAGCTGAAACACAAGTTGCTGCCCTAGCTCAGGAGTTTTGGGGTAGAAAAGTTAAAGTTAAGCTATTTATGCTGCATTCTCTAGCCTTACAATGCGAGATGTTGTTTTTATTGCTGCTCTCAAAGGAGAATTGCTTACTTCACAAAAGGATTTGTACTCTCTTTTTGTGTCAAAATAGTGAGGGAAATTTGAATGGGAAAATATGAGGCAGAAGTTGGTAGGTGTATGCATATATGCTGTCCTAAAGAAGTGTCTGGATGTTCTTCATCATAGGCTACACCTAAATGGAAGATACCAAAGTTGTCCACAGTAATTCTTTCTAAACACATAGAAATGACTTTTTCAAATTTGAGATGGATATATAGTGGTCTGTATTCCACCAAAAATCTTCCTCTACTCAGGGTAGACAGTAAAAGCCCCTGCAGAGCAGCTCAGGCTCTGAGCAAGGGGCTGTCTGGAGTCAGCCCCCGGGTTACAAGGCACAGGGGTGTACATCACATACAGGTTGTTGGAAAACAGCCCGAAGAGCTGACTCCAAACGCGAGTGTCCCTGGCTACACGCAGCCTATTAGACTCAGTCCTCTGAAGCCATAAATAAAAGCATGCTGTAAGGAAACTCTGGCAGTTGCCACTTGAGCAGACTAAAGGTGACAGCGTGGGCAATAAGAAAGCAAACTCTCCACACGTGCAGTGGCTGCAGACGGGGGGAGTCTCACTTCTGCATCTGAGAGAAGTGCTCTCGTTGAGCCCTTATTCAAAATAAGTATTTTCAAAGTGAGGAGCTGAAGTGCAGCGTTTGAGCTCGGGGCTGCACAGGAGTGTGTTTCACTGCAAGGGCAGGAGGCATCATTTGTGACTATGAAAAACTTCTTGATAGATACATTTCTCTGTAAGTGTTCCTTCTGCATAAAGTCCCCAGAGATAGACATTGCTATTCTAAGTGGTATTTATTGTGTTTTCAGAGCACCTCAGCCTAAGATTATTACTTTGGAGAAAGGCTCTGATGGACTGGGATTTAGTATTGTAGGGGGTTATGGAAGTCCCCATGGAGACCTGCCCATTTATGTCAAGACTGTGTTTGCCAAGGTATCTTTTTTTTTGTTGTTTTCTCCCTTTTTCGGTATTAACTTTAAAAACAAACCTAAGATTTGGCTTAGATAATATATTGTGTAGCAGAAAGCAAAATGTACTGTCTAAGTACATGGATTTGAGTAAATAGACCCAGAACTCAAAGTTGGCTTCTTAGTTTATATTTCATATTACTGGTGGCTGAAATGAGATGCTTTATCTCCGCAAAATGGCTCTGTGCACTTGGGAAACTTGTTTTTAGACACTGAAATTTTTACAAGGCAGCTTTCTATCTGTAAATCTCCAAGAGCCTTCCAAGAGGTTTGAACGCATCACTTCTTCCACTGTGCAGGACAGGAGGCAGCTGCAGATGTGCTCTGTCTTTGTGGCTGAGCTTCAGCTGGAAAACCAGCAATAAGTCTCCTGTGCTCAGTCACCTCAATGAGAAAAAAACACCAAAAAGGCCTTTTTTGTGGCTCAGGGGTGAATTAGCTTACACATTAGTCCTGGATGTAGTTCTTCTCCCTGGCTTCCAGCTGCTCTCTCTTTCCTCTCCCTGAGCACTCCACTGTCATGTGCTGGAGCTGCTCACAACGTGGGTGTCCCAGCCCACCTCTGACCCCAGCCCTGTGTGTCAGGGGAGGACGTGGGGGTCCTGGCCACATACCAGCTCTGGCCACCGAGGCTGAGGAGGCAGCATACCACAGCAGAACCCAGCCTCAAGGCAGACAGCCCCAGAATGGCCACGGTGTAGAGGGAGATGTGCCCCATTTTCCCTCCAAGCACCCTGCTAGAAAATTGCTCAGTGAGGGTGAGGAAGATGCATCAGGCATGGCCACAGGAAGGGAGTTCTGGAAATGGGGGGAAATGAAGGGAAAACAGTAGGAATTAGGGATACCTTCTATAAAGCAACTTTGAAGTCAGTCAGACAGTTGCTTGTCCTGTGCCTCCTTGCTGCCACTTGTGTCAGCACTTCTGCAAGGTAGATGACATAATCAAGAAAACTTCATCTGAAGGTGGAACAGAAGTCATATCTTTTCTGCTTCTGCAGTTCTGGAGCTAAAACCACAAATACCTGGTCTGTTCACACTTCTGACTTATTAACATGGAAAGATGCTGTGTCTTTACACTGATGCTTGGGTTTGCAAGTGTCTAGATGTGAGCACAGCTGAGAAACCCGGAATCGGAGCTAGAACACACTGCAGTCGCTGGTGGGGCCATGGAACAGAAACAGACACCATGAGCCAACCTCTGGGCAAGGCAGGGCTCAGGATTGAGATAAAAGAGCTACACTGAGGCCTCTGGAGGAGAACATCCATTTGTAACCCTCTCTGGGAGCTTCTCAGGACCTTCAGTGGAGCCCAGCCCTATCCAGGCCTTGGGCAGCGCCCAGGCTGTTCCTGTTGCATGAGCCCTGTGTCCCTCTCCCTCCCCTATTTGAAACCCTTTCTCAGCACTGGATGTAGAGTACGTTTAAATGCTTCTTCCACAAGCTTTTTTGTAATCAGAAAAGCCAGAACTAGTCTTGACACTGCAGTTTTTTGAGGGATGAGCCAGTTCTCCTCTTCCCAGGAGTCTATCACCCCGTAGACCTCGCAGGGTCGGGCGAGGAGGGTCGAGCAATGGTTCGGGCAGCCAGGGAGGCTTCAGCACCGTCATTCCCCACATCCCCCACCCGTCAGG